TTGTCGTCATGAGCACAGAGTACCGCCTGGCGCATGTTGCTTTCCAGCCTTGTGCACCATTTGACGTCTCAATTTGGGCGTAAGGACGGCATCCGGCACGCCTGGCAATCTTTACTCGGCGTGGCATCCTCGCTCCCTTACGTACGCCATGCAGGGCAGAACCTCGCTGCTGCCGATGCTATTACTAGTGACAGTCTCCCTCGCATGGGCGGAACACGTGTCTCCGCGTGTTCCAGATAGCCCAGACTGGACTGTCGCCTCTTCCCTCTACAAAAAAGACTGGTAATCGAGCAGTACTGGGGTTACTGGGGCTTCGGGCACTGCCAGCAAACTCGCGTGTAGCCGCTTCGACATGTGTTGCATTGCACTCGCTTAGAGGTGGCTGTTATCTTGTAGCACCCTGGAACTTGAGCACAGGCAACCCAAACTGCCTCGTGGAAGGGATGTCCTGATCATGCAGGGATTCTCTGAACACACAGATTACACACCCCTGAGCCCGTGTGCACTAAGGCTGCTGTGGCCAAGGTTCGGAAAGAGGCCAACCTTTGTTGAGGCAGCGATCTTCCATCTCGGAGGATTGAGCTTGACAAGTCTCGCCAAGCAGCTGGACGCATAGGAAATGAGGAGAGGAAGCCACCATCGCCCGGAGGGGCAAATGCGCCCTTCACAATGTCCTGAGCTCTCAACCTTCATGTGACTCATGTATCTCCATAATGAGTAGCACTCCCAAGAGAAGATGACGACAAATTGCTGCAATGTGTCCAGGAGCTGTCTGCCCTCGCTTGCCTGTGGCAATGCAGGAAAGCAAGCGCTCGGTGCGTCGTTTCTCACAAGTCTCACGAGAGCACCTCGTTCAAGATGGGAGTTCCTGTGAACCCCACCAGCACCGAGCCGCGTGCCGTCGAGAGGAGGTTTCCTGGTCCCACATGTGCGGCGACTTGGGGCGTCTGTAGCATCCTTCGACGGCCAAGTCGCTAAGCCGTGCGAGTTGTTCACCGTATTGGGTCTGCAGTCGGACCAGGTTGTGGACCTGTGCTGCAGTCAGGAGGTCGCTCTGTGGCTTCAACCGTTCGCGCATTTGTTCGGGCCTCGTCCATGATGACGACCTGTCCCAAGTTCAACACATTCCATTCGACAACTGGTTGCCTACATGCAGCGGACCTTGTTCGAGTAAGCATTGCCAGCAGCTTGTGCGCGATCAAACGCAACCTTCAGCAAAGCGCTCACGGGCCATCCATCCTTAGACTGCCACGGGAGGTCATGTGCCCTTTGGTACCACTGAGCTTGGAGAAATTTGAATCTGCTTTGGAGTCTTGTCGCGCGGAGGGTGCTTCTGAATCCAAGCTTCCGGCCGAAGATCTGCCTTGCCAGATGCTTCAAGCTTGACGTCTTGTAGCGGCTTGTCTGCTAAAGCATGCTAAAGCCATCTAAGCTCCCAACATGACGACCGCCTGCTGACGTGTATCGCAGAGCCCGCAAGGGTGCAGCTGGGGCGACTTCGTCTGGGAAGCGAGTGCGGAATGCCTCCACGAATCAAGTCTGACCGTATTTCGGCTTGCGATCCACTGCTGCAAGGCTGCCTCTCTGCGCGAACGTCTCATTCTGCCCATAAAGAACCTCGAATCAACAGCACCGTGTTTGCTACGGCATGACATGCGAAGCTTTGTCACATGACGTATCATCACGTGTTCGGAGGCTCCAAGGGGCCATCCCTTCATTTCCAGCACCTCCCGCATGTTGTAGCACAGCTCGTGCATGACAACACCAGACAGGTCCTCGTGCAATCGTGCCCACGAGAACCGGAGATCTGCAAACGTGCACAAAGCTCAGTCGTTTCAGTACCAGGGCACGGCCAGGTCCCAGCGAAGCCTCCGTCGAGAGCGCCAGTCTGCACAACCGCTGGCTTTGGCTGCATCCTGCGGCCTTACAGGAAGCGATGTCTCCATCCTTCCTGAAACAATGACTCAATGAAAAGCGGTTGCCAACCGCAAGCGCTGGCACAGGAAAACCTGGCTCCTGGCCTCAAACAGGCAAAGAAGTCCCGATACCTGCAAACAGGCCGAGAACACTGTCATACGCCCCAAAAGAAATTCTTGGGAATCCACCGGCTCGGCCATCGAAGTAGTTCCATGTAGAAGTTACGACAGACCGGCTCCTGCATTTCTCGACGTGTGGGGTTGATGCATCGTGGCTCAAGCTTTGCGTCCTTGGGAAATATCGGCACCTTCGGTCGAGGGTCCAAGAAGTAGTTGTCCAAGACGCAAATCATTTCTCGAGTCTTGCCTAGAGCGGAGTATCTAACTGCTGTTGGCTTCATGGCTCTTTGATCAGAGGCCCTCCCTTCACTCACTCTGCTCTAAGGCATGACATGTCTTTGAACTGGTATCACCACTAGGCCTGTGCTCCCCAAGCCCTTAGGACTTCCTTGGACCCTCTGCAACACGACACGGACAGCCATTGCGACCATGCCTGCTAACCTCACAAGCTGACTGTGGCTGCAACTAGTTCAACCTACTACTTCTCTGAGTATTCCCTGCTGTTGCTGTTGTCTACATCGAGCATCAGTGGATCATTCGCGTGCCCCTGCCACTTCCCCCTGCCCCTGTTTACATGCGCTCAAACCAGTGCCTGAATTATGCTTGCCTCGGTCGCATCGCCCAATCTTGCACATTCAATAACACTTTTGCATGCATCGTTTGAAAGGTGTTCTTTGAATGAACGTCTCGGTGTCAGACCTCCCCGCCCGCCGGACAACACTGAGCAGGTGTTCCTGTCACTACCCTTCCGTGCTTGGCTCCAAGCTACTGAGCGTCCAGACAACATGGCCCTTCACAGGTCGCACACCACCTCAGCCCTAACACGCCGTCATTTAGTAGATGTTGCATCGTTAGTATCGTCAACCCCAGCCATAGATCCGCTCTTAACCGCTTCATGGGAAGCTGTGCCAAGCGTGCTTGGGTCAAGCAGCATAGCCGCTCCCTCTACTTTCACATGGTACCACGCTGCGCAAATCTCACGCTCAACCCCCTCCTCTGAAAACGCTGCACATTGCCGCCGCCGCCGCTCCCACACTGCACCCTCCCGAAGGTCTGACAGGCTTCTGTGCATGTCACTTTTGATTCGATGATGCTGATGTCGTTCTTGCCAACCCACATTTGGTCTTGCTTCGTCGGATCTCCCGCCCATTTCTCGGAAGAGTGATCCGCAGCATCAGCGACTGTGGTAGAGGCCTGATCCGGTAGGATGGTCCACCAGCCTGAGCTTCTCTCGTTTTCCTGCAACAGTCTGATCCATTGCGCGAGGCCCCGGCATTCGAGAGATGGGCGACTGCGGATGCAGCATAAATGCTACCGCCTCATGCATTCCAGCAACAGCCCATCTGGACTCAAAGCCGCTGCCTCAGCCTAAACTCTGCTTTGACCTCAGTGTGCAAGATGCCTCTTGATGTGGCTGGAGAGGTGGACATTCGCCTGTCTTCGCCCAAGGTCCAGCTGGAGGTGCGGTGTGACGCATCAGACTTGTTTGCTCGCCTTCGGCGCGCCGTCCCTTCAACTTCCTGCCAATTTTCGCATTCCACATCACTCGTGCCTGCAAAGGGATGGAGCCATGGTTTCTGGTTTCTGAAGCGGCCATGGAGCTCGAGACCACAAGAGCGCTCACAACTCAGGAAGCCAAGCGGCAGCAAACCGATTGAAACCTGCACACAAGATGTTAACTTCGAGATGATCAGAGAACAGGAGGTCAGTGGTCAGTAGCGGTCAGCACCTGGCGACCCGAGGTCAGGAGCTCCCTCCCAATTTCCGGTATAGGAGGGATCCAGCGGAACGGGCTCCTGCAGAGTAAAAAGTCACGAGTCGAGGCTTTCCCAAAGCTCCCGTCGGGTCCTGGCTGATGATCAAGTCTTTTAGCCCTCCTGGAGTTCGCTTGGCCAAGTATCGCTGCCACAGTGGCAAACAGGTGGCAAAGCACGGACAGTTGAAAGCAGCAAGCTCCGAGTACTTCCACTTCTCGGTCGACTTCTTCTTCACCATCGAGGTCAGATGCATCGGACATCTCCTGCAATCTGTGATGTGACGTTGATTATCCAGAAATTGGCAGAACTCCACTCATGCTCGAAGATATCCAAGCACCTGCCAGCTATGCATCCTACTGAGCCTGCGCCACGTGGGGTTGGGGGTCTACACAATCAGCGTCTTCCTCTTAGCCCGGGGCTGGTACAAAATCCCATCTGTATGTCCTTGTCGTCAGCACTGCTCTCTGACGATGTGCTCTCGCTGCTCGATGCTTCACCATCGTCGATAGCCTTCCAAGTCTTCTGCGTCACCCTTCATGGCAGAGGTTGTCTTAAATACCGGCATAGATCCGCCGCTACAACATACTCACCATCTTTCACTCGAGTACCCTTGCGGTGTTATGCGGTGTTGCTTGCTACTCGACTACTCGCCAGACAGATTGATTCTCTCTCTTCATCCTTCCCTATCCCCTGCGGTGTGGTCAAGCCTTGATCGGGCCAGGCGCTTTTGATGTCATGTCCTTGGCCGTTGTGGTGCCCTTTCCAGCTGCATCTTCCTCCTCGTAACAACGGCGCTCTGCCAGGAATCACAGTTCGACAAAGGACCGTCAACCATGTTCTATACTACTATATGCTGTATGTGCCACTGATAATCTTTAAGTCATCCTCCGAAGATGAACTGTCGGAAGAGGAGTCAGAGGAGGAGGACGACGAGGAAGAAGCAGCGCTGGAGCCATCATGCTGCACCTTGACATCAGCACTGTTTGGCTTCGAAGCTCCACGACTGCTGTTGGCTCTGCCTGATCTTTCATCTTCCAGACCCTACCACGGTCGCCCTGGCTACGTACGAGCTGATCTGAACACGGCGGAACAACACGTTCGTCATGCTACGCTGAGAAAGTGCGCATGCTTTCATGCCGACAGTCTGAAAAAGCACATCTTCCGCAATCCTCGTCGCGGCCCTAAGGCTCGGCTGGCTGCAACGACTCTACCACGGCATTTTTGCTCTTGCAGCACTGCGGGAAGGAAATCCGAAGCGCGTGCCAAGCTTGCTGAAATGCCACATGCCAAGCATCACCACTGCGCTCACTGCACCGGCACCCCAGGCCTGCAAATGAGCATTCTGACCCTGGTAAAGCTACCGCGCCCTACAAGTATCTAGACAAAACTCTTAGTTGTTGCTATGGCAGACCGTCCAACCTGGCTGGATTTCCATTTCTTGGCACGGAAATGCCGCTGGGTGTACGAGCTCCGGGCCTCATGCGCCACGTCACCGAAACAAGCCAGGCAAGGGTCGATTGATTTATGATGGGTACGGCCCCCATACCGTAACAGTCTATAATAGGGCTACTATAAAGGGCATGAAAGGCCGAAGTGAGTTCTGAGAATACCACTTTGCGGAGCTGATTGGCAACGGAGATTTGCGCAGCCGCTGCACGCACCCTGAGCTGTCGCAGGCTGTTTGCAGCACATAAAACTGAAGAATGCACGTGAATCCATGAAGTACCTCTCCCCACCAGCACATGCACAATCAGCCTGAATGGAAAACGCGGGGTCTTGGATTTTTCGAGTTGCAGAAAACTAGGAAGCCTTCTTGAGGAGTCCTTACATGTGCCTGTTCTTTCGGAAATTTCAAATCAACCGCGGAATTCGTGAACGGGAGTACTGTATCGTTGAAAGTCACATCTTCTATAGTGCTCGCTTGAGGATCCGGGGAAGGCTTCAGTCTATCATTACGAAGCGACGCCAATCAGCAACCAAGAGCGGATTCTCACATCCTGTCTTAACAAGTCCTGACCCTAGACCATCCTCGTCACAACCCAACGCCAGCTTGAAGCATCCCAAAACGGACACCAGGTCCTAAGCTTTGAAAGTTTTGACAGAGTTGTTGCTCCTAGGGCCTAGGATGCTTTCGTCTACGCTTCTAACTTCTAACTGTATTTCTTGTCACGGTGTGTGTCTTCATGTGTCTTCTTCATCCGGCACGCTCTTGAACGGTGGGGAGCTGGAGCTCGCAACCGTTGATGGATTCGGCAAGGGAGTGTGCGATGACGTTGGCGACCTCTCCTTCACAGATTCTGCACAGCTCGATTCACTTCTACACCGTAGCACGAGAACTGCGCAAGGTGGCTGTTGCTGGCGAGCTGCGCATGGCATTCGTCCGCTGGCCATTCACGAGCTTTGCAGCAGAAAGGTTTGCAAAAACAAACCGACACCTTGGACCGGTCCGGCATCATTGCTATTTTTTACTGCACCAGCATGCCTCACTATGGTCTAAAAGCGTCGCCAGGGAGCTGCAAAGCAAAAGTCGGACTGGACTCGTGCTTCTCATACTTCACACCGTGCTCAAAGCAGAAAGGCGATGTGAGGTAGAAACATCCCTTGGTCTGTTCAATGTCCCACAGCTCTTCCTTGTCATAAGCTTCAGGGTTCCATACGCTAATTTCATCACCAGAGCGCTTGCCTCTCCGGCGACTTTCTTGTGGCTTGTATTGCGAATGTCTCTCTCTAAAATGGCTGACTCTCAGGGTGCGAGCTCCTCCAAGGGTAACCCCCAAATGCAACAAGGCCGTCGCACCATCTGTGTGGGAGTCCATGGTTAAGTCTCCACCCTGCCAAATTTGTGCCTCCACGCCAGCAAACTGAGCTTTGTCCAAAAGGCAACGGCGGAAAACACGCACACTGTCATGCAACTCCGACTCTTCAGCATCGGATGCCTCCTTCTCAAGTACAGACAATGCCTGGACCAGGCGCTGCCAGCAAGCGGATGAAGCTTCCCGGAAAGCATCCAGGAAGGCTTGGATTCGCAGTGGGGCTGCGTGAGCCGGCAAGAAATCATCCGTACGGGGCACAAACACTCGAGCACTTTCAGCTCCCCAAAAGCTGTCAGCTTGCCAATCCGCCTTCAAAATAGTCTCGTCTTGCTCGTTTATGCTGTCTTCCTCAAAACCCCAAAGCTCTTGCAAGGTCGAGCTGGCTGCAGGGCCAGGCATGAAGGGCCCAGATGAGTCGCGTAGCAAATAATTCGTCAACTCCTCGGAGTTGGCCACTGCAAAGGCAAACGGGGCTCGCCCCATTGGTAATTGAACACCATATGATATCGGATGGCGGCTGTCATAATGCTCGAAAGAAGGGCGCGTAGGCACGTTGGCCGAACCCTGACAGGCAGCGAGCATGCAGCACAGCAGAAACTGTCGCAAACGGAATGCGGGCATGAGAGCCCTTGCAGTCCAAATGTCGATCATATTGTCATACTACCCCAAAACGGCTTTCTACTCTAAACTTGCCTGCCGCGACATGCTGCTTGCTTTGGCTCCGATGTTCTCCTGCTTGCTTGCGCGTAGGAAAATCTGTTTCTACGTCTTTCGCAGTGACACTTCATAAGCAACGGGGTTGAGCAAGCACCCATGGCTGCGGCACCAGAGGCACACGTACGCCCGTAGTGAAAAGCGCAAACCAGAAATACATTATCTACGTATTCTCAACATCATGCGTTCTGCTGATTTGTGTCACCACGGGCTTCACCAGCAGTCACAACAGTAGAGTCAGTATAAGGGCGCCGCAGTTACAAAACACATCAATCGAACTATGACTTCCGAACTCAAGTTGCTTCAAATAACATGCGATGGCAGCGAAATGCTGAAAGTTTTTAACCGGCGGCCCAATGTGAAGCATGGCAGCTGCAACAAGCGGCCAAGATACACAAGCACAGCTGCATCTGAAATTCCTGAGTATGCACACGTTGAAGAGCATTTGTATTTCAAGAAGCGGGAAAAGTAGTCGTGGTAGTATTAGTATCTACTTACTCTGGAGGCCCGAAGCGACGTGCACTCGATGAGTACCTGCTTGCACTCACTGTTGGCCATCAGCAAGCGCTCAGACAAAGGTAAGCAAGCTGGGAGCAAACCGACTCTTTTTTTACCCACACACTCCTTTTTGCAACCACCCACGCGGTCCCAGTGCAACAAGGGCTCCGTCGGCGCAGCTCAGGCACGCACTACGCTACGCATGGCGGGAGGCAAGCGGAGGCGACTCGGAGGAGTCAGCGAGGACGTCGCTGATCAAAGGCCGCTCGCCATATCAGTACCCCCTTGTCGGGGGAAGGGGGGGGTTTGAGGCCCCCCCCGTTATAGGGCTGAATCCGCTTCAGCCACCCGCATGAAATAAAATACAGGCTTGGGGGGGGGTGAAGGTTCCATGAAATTTCAACAGGGTGCTCCAGGGTGTGGAGGGAGAGGTAGGTAGGCTTTTTTTTTTTAAGGCTTGGGTCCGCAGATTTGTCCATGCAGTGAAAATTTCGGCACTCGAAAATGTGCTTGAAGTACCTGGGGAAAGGGTTGGGCGGCAAGCAGGAAACTGCTGGGGGAAAGGGTTGTGGCCACTAGTAGCAGCCTAATAAAGGAAGCTACCATAGCCCCGCATAGTAGGAATTTAATGGATTTCTAATAAAAATATAGTAGCAGCCCAATAGAGGCCACCTAGCCTCGCATAGGAGGAATTTAGTTGATTTTTCATAGAAACAAAGTGGCAGCCTTAAAAACGCGAGCACACGCACGCACTGCCCTCCCTTTGCAGCGTGCCGCGACAATTGCAGCCTTCGTTGGGCGATGGTCGGGATTCGTGTCGGTTTCCGCAGCCCGGTCCTTCGCTACCAGCTTGCTCTCCTTTTTTTTTGCGTCTCTCCAATACCGCGAAGGCTGATGGCGAGATCACCCCCCTCTTTGTGGCTTGAAGCGGAGGGGGGGCGGGTGAGGCTCGGAAATATTTCAGGGCAGCTTCGGTCGAGGTGGGGGTTCAGACCTGCGGGGTGGGGGTCGGGCTTGAAAATTCAGGGCTGTCCTAGGATAGCGAGTCATGTTCCATTTCAAGAGAGTCGCCGTTCGCATCCGCAGGACACCGGCTTAGTGCGCTCTCAAGGGCTTTCAGACTAGCTTTGCAACACCATATGGCCATTCGGTGTTAGTAATTATTATAATCCCAGCTTCAGCACTCCAGCGTCCGCCGACCTCGATGCCGAGGACGACTAAGCGGCACTACGACGCCCGCCCGAATTCAGAGTAGGTGCGTTCCTTGTTTCGGCGTGCTTCACGTCAGCAAGGGAAGCGCCGATGGTGGCGCCTCGGCTAAGAAGCCGGCCACCACTGTTGGGCAAACCCAAGCCTATGATAGCCTATGTATGAGAAACACGGCGGCAACGTTCAATCCGAAGCCCAGCCATGCGTCAGCGCCACTTCCTCCCGAAGCTGAGGAAGATGGCTCGTTTGGCAGATGCTGAGAGCAGCTACCCAGCTCGCCGGGTCCAGGACGTAGTCATCCAGATCATGCGGGCGTGAAACATGCGCTCCTAAGGAGCACTCCTTGGCAAAGGGATGTAACGTTTCATCCTGCAGCTTTCCGTGCCTCAAGCAAATCAGGAAGCAGTTGTGCGACGAAGTGAAAGATCCGCCTCTGCATGTCTGCAGGTCTCGCGCCCATGAAGCAGAGAGAGAGAGAGAGAGAGAGAGAGAGAGGGAGAGAGAGAAATCGACTCCTGGCAAGGAGACGGGCACCCGCGTTGTCTCCGCCCCGAGGGGTTAAGACGCAAACGGGGCATGGGGCTCCGCAAGCGTCATGGCCCCATGCGAAGCAGAGCAAATGCAGCAGCGGCAGCAGCAGGAAGACGATGGGAGTGTGCAATCAGCAATATGTGATTCGAAAGCCGTGGCTTGATGATATGTAAAGCAGGACATCCTCAGCCCACGGTGCGGACATTTTCCCTATCGTAGTGCAGCGGCGCTCCAGGCTGGGTGCACCGAGATTCCCACTCGGATGGCGGACAAAATCCGATGCCTCTGATAGAGTCATCCGGTGCCTGTGACTGCGTGTCGCATGTCTGAAGGCGGAAACTCTGTTGTGTCGCCCCCTTCACAGGGCGTTACGATGTAATCCATCCCTGCCTAGTTCAAAGCCCCGAAGCACCGTAACAGTGAGCTGCAGTACCCAACGAAACAAGGAAAAAGCATTGCCAAACACAGTGAGTAGCACAGAAAAACCTTGCGAAATGACGAAGCTTCGCATTTCAGTAACCTGGAAATTCTCGAACGCAGACAAACGTCGATACCTCGCTGCCCTTTGAACCCTGCTCCTCGGTAGCTTGTAGAAGTGAGTGTTGCCACAGCCGCTGCACAGGTCTCAAATGCATGAAACATGAAAGAAGTGTAAATGGGTGCAGGACGACCGGACTTCCGCCCAGCGTAGCCTCGCGCTTAAATTAAAGCAGAGCGGAGAAGGCCTAAGAACCACGAACTAACCCAGCCCCGAGGAGAAAGGCAGCGATGGCAGTGCCACTCAGCATATAGCCATCGGCAGCCTGCAACTGGTTTCAGAACGCGCATGCTCGTATAGTAAGTCGGCTAGTGTAGCCTCACATGTGGCTAACGCTGGCAGCCGGACTCCGACAATCGACTGAAGACATCAGGACTGCACGCTGCTAGTAGTTTGAGCACAGCCAGGCGGCAACCCCCTGAAGTGCGTTTCTACGTTAGCGTCTGCCTGACCAGTCAGAGGCCTCGCCAACAGCCATTAAGACCGCGTTCCAAGCCACCATGCCGCGGCTCTCATGAGAGGGATTGCTTTGTAGCAAGCCCCAATTAGAAATAAGAAACCACTCGGCGTCTACATGGAGCCACCAAGCGCAATAAGAAAGTATCTAGCAGTGACGGTTCCGCCGCAAGTGCGCGCCTACATCCAGCGATATAAAAGGGCTGCGGGAAGCGGGCGGGCCAGTTGTTGCGTGTGGCATCATTTCCATAGCTTGGTCGCTCAAGTGCCGGAGAGAACCCTAATACAACTGCTCCTCCAGCTGTGCAAACAAAAAAGCTCATGCGTAAGGAGCCGCAGTTTTGTTAAAGCAGCGCATGTCATGTCGTCGACTGGATTGCCAAGGTCTGTGTAGTGTCACTTCCCGTCGTGTCGAGCCGACGGACAATTTGTGCTGCGTCACTCTCTACCGATGTCGAACCGTCACGAGGTCATCAGCCCATGTCGCCGTTCGTCGTCGAAACAGCAGTGCAGTAGGGCATAAAGCGGGTCGTCGTCTGAGTTGCAGGCCAGGTCCTGACAGTAGTGCACTGCAGTGTTGATCATGCGGTGGGGCGCCGTCTGAAGTGAAGTACTCCTAATGCGACTTGGGTATCTGCTTCCCCCCGTCGAGTCCAGTGACGAAGTCCATCCTGCAAAAGTTCTGCTACGTTGTCCACTTCAGCGAGAGCCCGCTCCGCACGAGAAAGGAGTACGGGGAAGGCGGTCCAGTTCCTGGGGAGTGCACGCTGGCACCAGCGCCTGACTCTCTGCCGATCGCCCGTCCTTGCACAAAACGTGTCTGTACCAGCTCCCGCATGTCGCTGTAGGCTCAACTGCGTCAAGTGAGTCAGGAGATTGCCTGGTGGCACAGGCAATCTGGCCGGGCGCCGCGGCATCGTTTGGAGGGCCGTGCGCCAAACTCCCCAACAATCAGGACAAAGGGAAATCGCATCCAGTGCACCCGCATGGAGAAGCAGACGTCGGAAGGTCACTTTCGTTGGTTCTTTTTTTTGCGCACCTCTTTTACGTCCGTCCACCCGATCGCTCCGCCTCGTCGCCCAGCTCGGGCGACTTCGAGCCCAGCGTGCTCCTGCCGCTAGCTAGGGCTGCGCCGCTGGTGGTGTCTGCTAAGCGTTGCTCTGCATAGCACCCTTGCTGCAACGCTGCTTGGAATGCGATACATCAATGGAGCCATGCCGCGCCTGGTTGCCAGCGCCCTGCGCTCGGGGACGTGCTGCACGACGCAGTCCCTCCCACCCCGAGCCGCCTGCTGTAGCTTGCAGTTGCACGGGGACCCGGACTTTCTTGGGCAGTCGTAAAAAGTGCGACAAAAAAGTCACTGCTCCCAAACACCTGTTGCAGATCCAAGTTGCCAAAACGGGCCCATTTGCCAGGACAAGCCTCGCTGTGTGGAACAGCTGTGCGACGCGCCGCCGCCGCCGCCGCCGCCGCATGGAACGACCATGGAGTCCAGCCGAAACGTACCAAACAGGTTGAAGCTGGAGAGCGCCTTGTATGGCCCAACAGCATCAGGGCAACCTTGCGTTGGGGCATCAGATATGGAATGGCTGCCACAAGGAACCACAAGAGTGGATCAATGTGTTGACACCATACTTATCAAGCAATGACGCCGGAACCTATTGCAGCGCCCCCATTTTACAAACAAGCCAATCTTCCGCGCTTG